GCATTTTTATTGGTCAATCATGTTACACTGCAGCTAAAAAATTGGCGCCTATATATAAAATTTGTTGGCTTTAGGTGGTACCCACTGTACAAAATTGATGGAACTCAAAATACTTAAAATGTTAAATTAAGACAAGCTCATGTTTTTAAATTTTTTTTTCAAATCTATAAAGTTATATATAGCAAATTAAAGTTATACAATAGTATGTATATATTTTTATAACACCTTTTATACATCTAAATTTGGCCCTTTTAAACAATTAATTTAATTTTTATATGTATTAATAAAACCTGATTTGACCTCTAAAAATTTTTATTTGCTGTGTCTGCTATTTTGTGCATCACTACTACAATACTAATAATGATAGAATTGACCATTAAATTGTTTCGTTTTTAGAATCATAAACTTATATACAATACACGTACTGTTTTTTCAATAATGCAAGTAATAATGGATGTGTAAGTTGAGCGGGTGATATTGTTAAAGAAAATTTAGAATAGGTTTTATATCCAAAAAAATTAACGTTATTGAGTGATTAATTAATTGAGAATCCTAATACTTTTCCTCCCTTTAACCTAAAAATTTATTTTGGCCTGAATTAAGCTTAATTCGGGCCATTATTCTAAATAACGCTCATGGACGTTATCTAAAGGAATGTGACTTTCGCAAAGATCTTTGTTATTATCATATATTTTTCTCACAGTGTATTTGCAAAAGTCTCGGGACCAGTTCATTAAAATTGAAAAGAACTATTTAAAAATATATATTATTATTGAAAGAAATATCAAAATATTCATCCTCTCAAATAAAAATTAGTTATGTAAAAATTTGCGAATTTGGTTTACAATAAATATTATTTTATTTGCTTTGTATACGTATACGTAATAAATATAATAAAATATACATTATGAATTTCTTTGCTTAATATGTATTATACACTTGCATCGTAATAAAGCAATGATTGTCGTTAAAAGTTATTGTCCGGAGCGAAGCGGAGGACACTCTGTTTTTACGATAGACTGTGATCATCGAGATCACGTGGAGTTGTCCTTCCGTCCGCTTTTATGAATGCTGATTGGCCGAATATTTCGATTTGTACTGCTTCCTTTTACGAAGTACTATACAGCTATATGCACTTTTATGCTCCGGACTTTTACTGGTTTCCAGTTCCTAGTATATTACTGTATTACATTTGTCGGATAAATCAGATATCCGCTAAACGGATAACGGATTCAATATCGATATCCTATCTGATCACAGATAACGGAGATCTTTTCGGGAGTCAAATCCGGGATTCAGATATTCTGACCGCATCACTAGAATCAACTTATGAATTAATGCTACTAATAACAGATAAGTCGATTAACATAAATACAAAAAAAGGGCGATTGAATGAATGAAATGCTTTATGTTCATCATTTTCCAATTTCATATTTCCATCTAGATCATAATTAATGAATGCATTATGTTCATCATTTTTTTTTTCACCTCCCCGACAATAATGTAATAAGGTTATAAATCCTATCTAAATATATTTTTGACACAGTAAATAAATGTATAAAATGCTTTACGTTCATCTTTTTTTCAATACTTATTCCATGTTGATAACAATTTTGTAAGGTCATATATATTACAAAATGATTTTCGATCAATTTTTTGATCAATTCCATCATTATGATAAATTTTTAACACAATAACTGTTACTTTTACTATTATTCCATCTTTGCCAATTTTTGATAAGTAATGAATGCTTTATGTTTATCTTCTTTTTTTTTTTTTAATTGACTAGACATTTTGGTAATCAAATCATTGTTGATAAAACCAAAAATTAGTCTATATATCATCTTGATGGGATGGTTAGAATTATCGAATACATCTTTCTCTTTAAATGACAGTCTGATAATCAAAAATTTTGAATTTGGTCAGCATTAAGCCATAATTCGGGCCAAATCACATATTGCCCAAAATTTTATCCTGAAATTCTTAAAATTCCATATCATGCATAACGTTATAGATGCTGCTAAATTTTCAGCGCCCCTGACGTACGCACGTACGTACGTGCGTACATACCTGATAAATGATACGTACGTACGCTTTGTTTTATTTGTGGAGGTACAGCAAAATATTTAATTAAAAAATTAAAATTGATGGTAAGTGTTATACGTAGGTAAAAAAATTAGCTTTCTGAAATTTTTATTAGTACTAGTATTTGTAATGTTTATTAATAGAAATAAAAATGTGACTTTTACAGTCCAATTGAATTACGATATCAAATATACCAATCAAAACCATCAAAAACTCAAAAACTGCTTATATTAGTCTTATATTATGTACGGTTGGTAGCACAAGATGATATAGATGATAGATGATAGATTTTACGCTTACATAAAGAATATGCATTTTCACGAAAAAAGATCATCTCATGTTTCAGCAATAAACCATGAAAGTAAAAATCAAATGGTATTTATCTATTTCAAATTAAATTTTAAAGAATATGTCTTTATTGTTATCATTTATGTCTTTATTTTTACATTAGTTGGAATGGTGTAGCAGTTTGGCGATGGGATGTACCTAATGAAGAAGTTTGTGGAATTTGTCGCGTTCATTTTGACGGCTGTTGCCCTACTTGCAAAACTCCGGGGGACGATTGTCCACTTAGTTAAGAATGAGTTTTCTTTGTTTCTTTTTACCATTTTTTTTTTTTTTTTACTATACCACCATTTAATATTTTTTTTTTTGTGTCATATTAATAATTAAAAATTTTTCAATATAATTTATAGTATGGGGCGAATGTACGCACGTGTTTCATATGCACTGTTTACTAAGATGGCTTCAAACGGAAGGTAGCCGTGGACAATGTCCTATGGATCGTAGAACTTGGGGTAATCTTGCTTGAAATTGGTTTTTTTTTTTTGCAAAATCATAAGTGATAATAATAACTTACGTTGATTATATATATTATTCAGTAACGTCTCGATAATCTGAAAAAAATAGAAATAGGGAAACTATAGCATTCACATTCATTTTTATTAAAGAAGTTTTTTTTTTTTTTTTATGACTACGTAGAAATTTTATTTTTAAATGCAAAGTTCATAGTAAATCTGCACAAAGTCACTAACGCGTCATTATAATTTGAGTAGATTAGTTTATATGACTATTATTTATGTATTCTTATCTATTCTGCGAATAGTATAATATCTGTATAAAAGAATTAAAATTGTGATAGAGATATCGTTAATATTCTTCTTATATGCTCGTGTAAAGAATCATGTGATCGAAAGTTTGACCGGTTTAATTTACCTGTAAAATCTGTAAAATTAGTGTTCAAACCGATTCTAAAATGATTCTAAAATGATTCTAAAATGATTGGATGGAATCTATTTCTAGCACTATTATATAATAGATTATGGTCACATGAGTTGGGTTCAACTACTGACCCGTTTACTACAAGGAATTCATTGGTACTTGTATGTGGCTTTCTACATTTTTCTTTCCAAAATAAATATTGTTTTTACGTAGACTTTTCTTAAGAACTTTATAAAAAGAAAAAACGTCAAATAAAGGTGTTCAAATTTTCAAATTTTATTTATTCCTTTAACGCAGGAGATCCTCAGAATATCGCTAATGGCTACTAAAGCTGCTTACAAGAGATTGACCAAAGAATACTTGGCCGTACAGAAGGTTAGTGAAATATATGCTTGTTACTTTATATATTTTAGTTTTTAATAGTTATTTTAACCTATTTTATTTTATTTTTCTTACTTTTTAGAATCCACCACCATACATGATAGCAAAGCCGCTAGAAAAAAATATTCTTGAATGGTAATTATTAGTATGAACTTAATCTTGGAGTCTGGAAAATAATAATGATCGATTTTTAGCATAGTAATTTACGCCTTACTTTCATTAAAATTAATTTTATGAGAAGAGAAATCAATAAAATTATTATTTTTTTTTATTTGTTTAGGCATTATGTTCTACGAGGGCCTCCTGACACACCTTATCATAATGGAGAGTATCATGGTAAACTTTGAGCAATTAAATTTCTTTTACATATTAAGTACTGTTAAAAAACATGCTTATATAAATTTGGTAAAAATTTATAGGTGTTTTATTATTCCCACCGGAGTATCCTTTCAAACCTCCTTCTATTCGTATGACGACACCTTCTGGTATTAAGAATTTACTAATAAATTATTTTAATTTTAATTATTTTAAATAATTTAATAACCGTATTTTTACTATTTTACTATTTTACTATGTATTTTACTATGTATTTGTTCTTAGGACGATTCCAACCAGATACAAGATTGTGTTTATCTATGTCGGATTTTCATCCAAGTACTTGGAATCCTAGTTGGAGTGTTGCAACTATTTTAACTGGATTACTGAGTTTTATGGTATATATAATTTACTATTTCAAAGTTACTTTCTTATGAATTAATTTATTTTTTGTTAGATAACTTTTTTTGTATTTACTAGACCAGTAACGAAGCTACTACGGGGAGTATCAAGACGACGGACGCAGATAAAAAAATATATGCTGCACGTTCGCATCAATTCAATTTAAATGATCCAAAATTTAGAGGTATGCATGTATTAAAAATATATAGTATCTGTCGTATTTGTTTTTGAATTTTAAATAATTTCATAAAAAAAATAATTTCTAACGATAATTTCTAACGATAATTATATTTTAGAATATTTTCCAGAACTTTGCATATCTGAAGCTGTACCCGTAGAGATTCTTTACCCAATATCATCGAGCAGTACTCCTATACAAACATCTACTGAAGTCACAAAATCAGTAAACCCCGTTCCTCCGGCACCACAACGAAATGACCTTGGAGTGGTCAATCAACGACTTATAGCAGCAGCGAAAAATCAGAATTTACAACGTAAAGTTCTTAATCGCGTTGAAAATCCTATTATACGCGAGCATGCTAACACGGCAAGGGTCAACGCTAACAATCCGCAGATTAATAATAATAATAATAATAATAATAATAATAATAATAATGCAGGTCAGCGACGGATTTTGGATCAGTGGCGTAAATGGATACTATTATCATTAGTATGTCTTTACCTCGTTATAATAAAATTATTAGCCCGATCTGAATCCGTCTCTGGAAGTGAAGCTTCTTGAATAAGATTAATGTCCTTTCATTAAAGTGATTAAAAAAAAGATTCACAGGTAAAAGAAAGAACACTAGTGTTATTTGTTATAGTTTCTTTAAATGCATTAAGGAGAAGTAGCAGTTTTCTTTGAAGTTCTGTAATGTTATGTTATACTATTAGCGTTTTAGTAAAAATAGGTGAAGTAGATTTTATATATACATTTAAGAATTTTTTATATACTTTGAATTTTATACTTGTATAACTATCTATGTCAGTATATTAAAAGTACTAAGTTGTACTGTACGTTTTTTCATTCTCATTATTATTGGAGGAATATAGAAGAATTACAGAATTTTCGTATGTTGTTTAAATTAAATAAAGTTGATCTTCTCTTCTTGTGAATTTTTTTACAATAGATTCCTGGTTATACTACTGTACAATTTTTATTGGTAAGAGTTTTTTGTGTTTGAAAAAACCCTTTTAATAAAAACCTTTTAATAAAAACCTTTACTATCTAGATTTATAAATGACATATTTTAATTACCGTGGCCTATTATAATTATAGATATATTAAGATAATTAAAGTTCCAGAATTCCGTATTTCTGTATGATTGATAAACAAAACGTAATTTGAAGTTAATTTACTACCGTTACTACGTTACGAGGGAACGGGAGATATTATCTATCAATGCTAATTAAGCATTTACTAGACTTTGCAACCTTAAAAGAACATTTAAGTTAGAGTAATGCAAGTCTTTCTAAATTTCTTAATTTATATTACGTTACGAACGCATTAACAATGGAACCTTTTTATATAAGTTTATCAGGGAATCAAATCAATTGAGAGATCTCGTTATCCTCATTGCAAATCGTTACAATGTCCGAATGTACAGTAACTTTTAATTTACTGTAGTACATAACGTGAGCTAACAGGATTTTGTCGGTCCTGAAAAAAATTTGGTAAATAGGGTCCAATCCTGTAAAATACCAGTTCAATAATGTTTATAGTTCTAAAATGATCTTCTCGTAGTACAGTACACTATACAGTACTATTGTACTAATGATACCGATACTATATCATATCAATATATATATATATTTATATTTATATTTATATATAATATAATAAATACGCATATACTATTGAATAATGCGCACGGAGAATGCGGTCTTTGGCTTGCTTGAAAGTAAAATCCTTAAATCCTTTTAGAAAAAAAAAAAGCTCCGCAAAAAAAAAAAAAAAATTACATACATTTATACATTTTTTTTTTTTTTTTTATCTAGTACTTAACTGGTAGATAAACGAAAAGGCATCGACCACAAAAATTTAAGGATTTAGGAATCACGTGTAATGCACTATCTTTTAGGCATTGATGGATGGTCTTATTAGACCCAGGTGTTAAAAAATTGCAATATTGAATGGTAGAAAAAAAAAAAATCGTATAACCAAATCAAATAAATTGAACTGTGCGTCGGATTACGAATGCTACGTAGTATCATTACAAAAATTACAAAAATGGAAAAGCAAGTAACGTGGTTCCTGAGACTGCATGTATCCGCAGGATGAATTACAGAATTACAGAATTTTATGAAGAGGGTGTTGATAGAACTTCAATAACATCTGAGAAGGTTTTTATTATAAGTGAAACCTTCCTTCCTTGTAGTTCTGTAGTTTACTTTGTTATCTAATATAATCATATTGATTGGCTGACTAAGTAGTCGTTATCATTATGGTTTTAACAGTTAAACAATAACGATACGTATTTTTTTTATTGGGTCGTCATTTATATAATTTATATAATTTATATAATGTAGCTATCTTATTAATGTTTGTCATTTTTCCATATGTTTGACAATTTCCAGTATAGTTCTGGTGTACAGGGGCAACACAGGTTTTTATTAACGTGCAGAAATAAAAAGATTCAAACAATATCGATATTATATAAAATCTTTGTATTTTTTTTAATAATAAAAAAAAAAAAAATCTTGGATGTCCGGATTTGATTCTTGAATTAATTTTGTTTGATTCGGGTTGCCTCAAAATTATATACAATAACTATTTTTAGGTTTTTATGAACTATGTTTGATCAACATGCATTTTTAATGTATATTCATGTATTACACAAATTGGAACTAACTAAATTATTACTTGATTTTATTCTAAATAAAGTTGATTCTATTTAATAATTAATTTATTAATTCTTTATTTTCGTTACGTGTTTTAAATAAATACTTACACTCTTTTTAACACATTATAGCATACAAGATTATTTTTCCCTTTTTTCTTCTAATTTTAATTCCACTATCCTCTTTTATATTTCATTCATTTAATTTCCTTTTTTTTTAATGCCTAAAAAAAATTTTTCACAAAAAGTTCCTCCCTCGAGACGAAGGGTATTGACAAAATCTCGAAGTTACGTCTTTTGCTATTATGTATCTGGACATGGTATGAATTTTAAAACGATTTCGGGTCTCTTTTAAGTTCATAAGGTTCTTGTTATCTAAAATATTTTATACATCCTTAGTTTAATAGAGTTACTAAAGTTTCTTTTTTTTTTCATTTTCTTCTTTCTCCTTAAGGCTTTGGACACGCAACAAGAGTTGTACAAGTCGCAACCGAGATTCTTGCTCTCCCTCGTCGACACACTTTGTATATAATTTCAAATGCACCTGAATTTATCTTCCAAGGAGCGATAGACCATGGTGCAAAATATAGACATGCACTTATAGATGCCGGTGTTCAACAACCTCGAGCATACACTGTTGATAGATACCAAACCATAGCTGATCTAGAATTATTCCTTAAAAATAGACCTGAAATGATAGTAAGAGAGACTGAATGGTTGAGAAAGGTAAAGGCTGATATAGTATTGTCCGATGCACCTTTCCTTCCTTGGTATGTTGAAAAATATTATTTCTATTTTTATTTTTATTTTTTTTTCCTGTTTTTGATGAATGAATGCTAACTTTATATATTATAAAATTATATGTGTTATTTCTAAATATAGTGCTGCTGCTGCTTCAGTGGGAATTCCATCAGCCATCGTTAGTAATTTTACATTTGACGCGGTATATAGTGGTTTATGTGAAGGTGATGAATTAGATATTACCATAAAAAGTCTAGTGGAACAAGTAAAAGATGATTATAAAAAATCTGAATTATTAATTCGTTTACCTGGATATATTCCAATACCATCATATTCTGGAACTCAACTTTATCCTGATTCAAATTTAACTAGTAAAAAAATTACTTTATCAAATGGACGTATTACATTAAATTCTTCTTCAATTGGTTCTGATCGTATTAGTAAACGTCGTAATGTTGTTGATGTACCTCTTGTTGTTAGAAAATCTAAAACGCCAAGAAATATTGTACTTTCTAATCTTGGTATATCAAAAGAAATTTTTGATACACACAAAGTTTTATTGGTATCTTTTGGTGGTCAAAATTTAGTAGGAATAGAAGAATGGGGTTCTCCTTTACCTGATGATTGGATTGCTATTGTTTGTGGTAATCCGGGTGCTGTTTTACCTGATCGGTTCTATGCATGTGCCAAGGATGCATATATCCCCGATTTAACAAATGCTGCAGATGCTGTAATGGGAAAACTGGTAATTTTTTTGTTTTCCTCGTTAAATATCTATTATCATTATATGATTGTATATATAATTAATACAATCATATAATGATGCACTTCATTTATTTAACAATCCTTTTTATTTAATTACTTTTTTTTATTTTTTTATTTTTTTTATTTTTTTTATTTTTTTTAGGGTTATGGTACTTGTTCTGAATGTATCGGTCATAGAAAACCTTTCATTTATGTTCCACGACCTCAGTTTATCGAAGAATATGGTCTACGTAATTTAATGGAAAATCAAGGTTCATGTGTAGAAATGTCAAAAGATCATTTTGAAACAGGACAATGGAAAGAATATATATTAAAAGCATATGGTATGCCTGGTGTTTGTCAAAATATTGATAAAAGATTAACACATGATGGTGGTAAAGCAGCTGCTCAAATAATTGAACAATTCTTGGATGAACGTTTAGGTACTACTAGAAGAGCTAGAAGAACTAATGGTTTAGTATATAATAATAGAGCGGTCTCACAACTTTCATAATATTAATTTGGGGGCTTTTTTTTTTTTTTTAATCACATATTTAACGTTAAAAAATTTTATAATATTATAATATTAATTATTTTTTCTTGTAACGATTAATTTTCATTGTTGTTTAATTGGCATTTAACAAACTATTAGATGTATTATCTTTATATATTCTTTTTTTTATAGATAATTATTATAATATTTCTTGCTTCTAGAAAAAATTTTCATACTTGTTGAATAATTTCTTCCTTGTTACATAAAAATAAAGCTGAAACACAAAATTCTTTCATTTTTTATCTTATTATATCACAAGATTTTAGCTGTTAGGAAGATTGAAGCTGAATTGAGGCGCTTGAGATCCTGCTATCGCCCTTTTTAAATGCAATTATTAGTCTAAACTAATTTTGTATCGTCATTTGCTGTGGATGGCGCAATTGCATTTTAAAGGTAAAATTGGTAATTTAAAAAGTAATACATGGCGGTACTTAACAGATTCTTGATTTTGATTGGCTAAGAGCGAAGATCAAAAAATTAGGCCGGAATTACTCAAAATTTTATTAATGAAATCACAGTCGCCCATTAAGTGAAATTTTTTCCTGGACCAATTTTACCATAGTTCGAACTTATCTTCCAAAATTTTCTATTTTTATATGAAAAAAATCAAAAATTTAATTCAGGCTGGAAATTAGTAGACAATTATGTTAATGCGGGCCAAAGTTTTGCAGAGGGCGTTAGCTAGGATAGTATAACTTATTGTAAGTTATTTTTAAATTTAACTTTTAAGTTATGTACGTAAGTACAGATGTTAAAATTACGGTATTTTACGTAATTTTTGTGTAATTTTGTGCAAGATTCAGTAAATTGAAATTTCGAACACATGACATTTAGTTTCTGAGAGGCGTTACAATTCGGATCGTACATTCAAATAAAAGATGCAATCAACCTTTTTGTAAATCTGGTACTTTATGTATGACGTGTGAAAATTACATGAAATTTGGTTTTCTAAAACTTACGTACGTAAAATTACATATCTGATATAACGCATCCCTATATGTAAGTTATCGTAAGTATAATAATAATAATAAAAATTTCATCCTTTAATAACCTTAATGCTGGCTAAATTTATTCTGGCCGGCATTAACACTAAAGCCGGCCTGCTTTACTTAAGGCCGTAACTTACGAAGTAACTTACAATGTAAGTTACATTGCCCGGTAAGTTATACAACTCTAGTATTAGCAAATCAAACCGAGAATCTGCCGTGACATTTTGTTGCGGCAGTTATGGTTAATGCAAAATGAAATGCGAAATAATAAGTTGCGCTCGGTTCTGTGATCATGTGACATTAGAGCGTTAACATAGGATGAGTTTCTTAACATAAATCCGAGGTTTACAATTTTTATTGAGATAGCTTTAAACATAATTGGTTAATTAATGTTAGTATTTAAGAAAATTACAATATAAAAAACGTTTAATAAAATCTTTTAATAATAAGAGCAGTAACAAATACATATCTTTATTATAAAATTGTCGTAAAATCATGATTGATTAACTTAAAAAAATCATCTAATTCCAATTGGTATTATTATATTTTGCTTTAATTTTTTTAAAAAATTATTAAATATAATAAACTATTATAAACCATTACAGTACTTGTTATTTGTAATTATAAAATTTTAATTATTTGCTATATATTATATTAACAAAATTTTTAATATATTATTAAACAAACTGAATGTATAATTTCAATCATTAACATACAAAACAAACCCTAATGTTCCTTATATAACTTCATCTCAGGTTTCCTCACGACAAAACCATCATGGCATTTTCAACCCGAGCTTGTGCAGGTATATACATTTTCTTAACACGATCGATACCAGGCTGCTTTGATTTTTTTGTCTTCTCGTTGAAATTACATTTGGGTTGCGTTATAATTTTATCCATCGTCGACAAAGCCGTATTGATGACTCCCTATTAAGTATGTGCATATCTTATTTAGTCTATTACCCATTATTTTTGTATACATTTTTTAGCATCACAATTTATTAGTGATTTCGGTCTCTAGTTACCGATATCACTTAGGTCACCTTTTTTGAAAGTTCTCAAAATATGATTAAAAATTTCTTACCAGATTTTCTTGTAATTTCTTATAAAATTTAAACGGCAATCGTCAGTCCCTGGGCGTTTTTCATTGTCAAGTTTGGCTATTGTATTAGAAATTTCTTAATAGGTAATTTGATTAAATCTTTATGTGCGCAACTAAACGTTTATAATCGCAATAGATTTTTTTTTTATTTAGTTGTGAGTCAGCACCTAATTTAAAAATCGAATTTCAGTCACTGATCTCGGGGTCTTTAACAGCACCGGATTTGCGTAACTATAAGTCTTTTGCACCTTGAGTCTCACATTCTTGTATTGTCCTCGACTGATGTCCGAACATTCCATAATTCAACCCTTTCTTCGTTATTTTTAATCTCAGGCGTCATTGTTCTATTTATTTTGTTATCAATGGATTCATACTCTTCCTTACATCACCAGACATTATTGCTTCAGAATCACTATTTGGTCCATGCTAAACAATTTTATTATCTTAATTTTCTCATTGTTTCATTATTTGCATCCCTACTTGTTCCACTAACCGTCACCATTTCCTTACATCTTACTATTCACTTATTCACTTTGCACTTCATTACAATAATACGCTCATCATCATCTTAATGCCTCCATCTTCGCCTTCATTAACGTCTGAATACCATTCAAAATTATTCGTAACCAGCTACAGCAGGCTTCTGATTATCAACGCATGCCTCACGTTCATAACCTTTAACGTCCATTCCACAAAAAATCTGCAAAATTGAATTCTTATACAGAAATAGCATTTAATTTCTGTAAACCTGTACAGAACTACATTAAAAAAAAAAATTTCCAATGTCGGAAAATATACATATAGTATATCAAAAATGTTTAGAATTTGACACTGTGATGTTCTATTTAATCCATATGTTAGTTTCTTTAGGCGTTTAACAATCGTCATTCGTTTTTGAGTTATCTTATCCGCAAATTTGTTCTGATGGTACCAAGGTAGGAGGAAAATTGGTGCTTGTAGTAAGATTCATATCAATTCTTTGGGCGATTTGTAAAATTCTTGATTTATATTACTGCCAATCTTGTATTACTATAACCTTCAAGGTCTTTCATTCTATCAGCATAATCTATTACCACATACTTTTCATCATCAATTCCATTTTTACAGCAATCAACGAAACAAACACTACCAGCATCACCAATTTCGGCAGATTTCTTTCATCCTTGATTTATTTTGATAGCAAGATCCGGGATCGGTTTGTTCCTTTAAATAACCTTCAGTGCTTTTCGTCTTTACAGATCCATGGATGCATTTCTCTAATCGTTTTCAGCCTCAATTCTATCTTCTTCATGATATCCCAAAATACGCGCTCATCAGTGTCGTTCTCATGAGCAGATCTCTGATAACATTCGGATGCTTTACTTTCATCTCTTTTAACTCCAGTTAACAATCATCAACGTTGATTGCTCATTAGTAAGTTTCATCTCTGCAGGATTTTGATAATAATTGAATGTATTATACATATCCTTCTCGATGTCAACCTCGTTTCGATAACAGCATCCAAGATTATTCGTTTCATCAGCATGGCTTTTACCAGCAAACCTTTAATAACAACAGGATGTCTTATGCAAGCTCCAATATCTCTTCTTGAATTATTTTTTGATAACAAGAACCAATTTGAAATATGTTTCAGAGGCATCATTTAGTTCGGCTGACTTCTCATAACACTAGATACGTTATCTTCGTCCCTTTTAATTCATTCCCGTTTTCATGACAACAAATAACAACATACATAACATTAACATCACCCATTTCAGCAAAACTTTGTAGAGGATCAAATGTCTTTGATTCATCGTGATTTACCTTCGTTATCACAAATTCTAAGGTTATTGCGCCCATTCGAGCTACAACCTTTAGAGAGCCTTTTCTTGGATGGTTTTTTGTTGATTAAAATGTCCTTTATGTTTATTCTCTTGATCAGTCATTCCATTTTCATCGGCGCGATTCGTTTCTGGTGATTTTTTTTCATCTTTATTGCATTCCAAGAATCTCAGGAGTATATCCTCAACCCTACTATCCGAATCTATATCCCTTTTTCCTTTCTTTTATTTGGGTTATTTTCTGATGCATTCTCTGATCTTTTATTTCCACGGGTTGCGACAGGCAAAACCGAACCAAATGTCCTGGACGCCGACATACGTAGCACAGACGCGACTTCGTTTCGCTTAAACCAATGATACCAGAGATCGTCACCTTCCATTCTCTTTCGTTTCCAACACAGGTACGTATTGTCATTCCACTGGTTTTGTTCTTTATCTTTAATTTGGCACTGCAATGTCCTTTCTTTTGATCTTAACCAATAATTGTCACCGGGAGCACTTCCATTCCTTGAAACAATGAATTCACAGGCAAAGCACTTTTACACAGCACAAGCTGACGTATTCGACGAGTAAGGCTGTTCACCTACTCAAGTTCTTGTATCACTGAAATTCTTTGACTTTCACTAATTAACCTCATTCGCTTGGCTAATTCTCATAAATTGGAGTATCGTACAGGTATTCCACCACATGACGTCTTACGACGACCGTAGCGAAGATCACGTCCAGTTTATCAATTAAGGTAGAATTAGAAAGGTAAAATCTCTCTATTACTTCCATTTGACTTTAATTTTTTTAAAAATACGCACGACCCGATAACCCGTGATCATATTACGTATTAAACATCGATCTATCAGATAAGTTGCATTACGTAACTACTTGTTATATTTATTTTCTGAACGCATATCAGTGTAAGATAGTTGATTTAGCATGTTTAAAGATAAATTTGATTCATCAAATTCGACAACCTATGTAATTATACCACAAAAAATTTTCCAGTCACATGACTTTATCGTGGCGCAAACCAATTGAATTTCAGGAT